TAATTATGATCCATCGATTTTAGTCTTGACTAATTAATTGGGCCTCTGGACCAAAGATGTTAAGAAATTGAGCTTTCCTTATTTGATGCGGATGTCAATTTTGGGCCCAATCAAGCACAAAGGTTAATCCTTTTTCTCTCACCGTCGCCGTTATTGTCGTCTTCCTCCATTGTTGTCCGTCTTTGAGAACCCCGACGAGAGGCCGCAGGAGGAGTTTCCAGATCTAATTGCGGCGGATTCAGAACGGTGCTTTTTGAGCCATATCAAGACTATAACTTGACTGCAGATTCTAGTGGTTAGTTATCGCTGTTCACTCTCAAATCTTCGCTTAATCGCACGTTTCTGCAATTCCAATCCCAATCCTTTTCTCAAACCCTCTTATTTGATATTGAATTTCGACAAATTTGTCCACTTTCTTCAAATGGGTGCGCAATTTTCTTGTAGGAGCACAGGTTTCTGTTGTAATTCAAGTGATGGTTACTTCATTCCTCCATGAATTTTGCTCGAAAACCCCCATCTAGTATTGCTTGCTAGTCAATCGGATATAATCTTTTTCATGTTTATAAACCTCTACCAGAGTTTTCATGATTGTTGAATATGTTTTTTTCGATGTTATTGTTGAAGAAAATTGAGTCTTGCTTTTCCCTTTTGTAAGAAATAAATTGATTTTGGATGGTTTGGATATTGGTTTCTTTGATTATATTTCCTTTCACTGGATTTCTTGTTTCATGTGGTTGGATGTTGAATCAAAATAATTTTTATGTTTTTAATTCGATTTGTCCCATTTTGTTTGGCCTCATGATCTCATTTCTAAGAGGAAAAGTTTCACAAGCCTGTGAAAATATTTTTGAACCAATTTAGTTATTATTATTATTATTGTTATTATTATTATTCTGTCATATGTTCTTTGATGTTCGTTTGCTACTTTGAGTGTATTAATGTTGTGGTTATTGCAGAACAATACAGCTTTATTCTTTATTTTCCTGGAAGATGCATCCTCCTTTGGCACTGCATCGGCATCCAATGTGTGCTGAAGTAAGTTTACCTTCCCATTTTTCTCATTGTTTGATTTAAGTAAAATGCTCATTTTGACATATTATTCTTAACCCAGATGTCATTTAAGGAACTTATCCTCATGAAAGTTATAATCTTTGTCAGTCAATGCATCTAGTTGCAAATTCGATGTTCGAAGTCATTACATGAATTTAGTTCTTTGATCTTTTGATTGGTAGAACAAGATGTTACTTCTCCCACGTCTAGGGAAATTTCAATATACTGTTTCTCAAGCCAACATTAAATTAAATACATGGATATTATTTTTCTTCTTGTAATTTTGATGTTAAATTTTGGCTGTTGGAAGAATTCCTTTTGCTAAAATTGAATGCTGAATCTTTGTTGCAGATCATTGAGGAGTTCCAGAAGTGTCATTTAGACCATCCTATTGCAAAATTCTTTGGTGAATGTACAGACCTAAAAATGAAGCTTGATCGCTGCTTCCGGCACGAGGTGAGTATGGCACAAGTATTGTATCCACTCTGGGTAAATATATATATATATTTGTGCAACTTGGAAGGTAAAATCTTTTAGTATTTCTGCAGAAAGCTGTCAAGAGGAAAGCAAACTTCGAGGAGAGTAAAAAACTGAAAGAAAGGCTTCAAGCATTGAGAAAGGAAATGGCAGAAAATTAACTCCAGCAGGTAGAACCTTTTGGTAGAATAATGTCAAAGCAGAAGATCCATTTTTAAAGCCCTCGATGAGATTTACGGAGAGGAGCTGCTTACCAGATTTTCTTACCGATATACAGAGTCTGGAATTTTATCACTGCAAAACTGATCCCAATTATCATGAAGACAGTTTGAAACTTGATTTATGTCAAGGTGAGAGTCAAATTACCTCAAAATACAGGTTGTTAAGTTACAAAATCTACTATTTTTCGTCTCTAATGACAGAAATAATATGAATAAATATTTTGAAATTTCATGGATTTGGTTCAAATTTTATTAAGGTTCCTTGTGTAGAATATATCATATGCTTCAGTTTTCTATGTTGAATTTGAATGGGAGAAATGGCTGGAATTTTAATCTCAGAAGTCAGAATTAATTTCATGCTGCACAAAAGAAGAAGAAGAAGAAAATAAGAAGATATCAGTTCGCCTATTGTAACTGAAAACTCACAGTTATGCCCAAAAAGTCAGAAACCCAGTCTAAGGTATTGCAGTTACCATGTAATATGAGTTTGCATGCAGCTTTTGAGATCAGTTTGCCTGTTGCTCCCTTAAAGCTAAAGGTCATATTTACATTGCCAACAATGGCCCATACAACATCAAAAATCTCAAAAGTATTGCAAAACGTTCTTCATTCCCTGAAGAAGTTGCTGCCATTTCTCCTCTCCTTTGTCGGATGCCTCACAAACCTAAAAAGAAATTATTTCTGGGCAAAATCAGTCAAAGGGATGGCATCATCTTGGCTCTGACCAACCCTATAAACCTTGAATTGTAACGGGCAAGTACTAGAATCACTCCATTCTTTAATCACAGACTTAGCATAAGGGCCAGTTGTTAAACCAGTTGGACTGATGCAATACCACTTGGGGCCATCTTCATCCTCAGAGGGTTGCCTGTTTGCTGCACTACTTGCATCTTGTTCTTCATCATCACTTGACTCAATCAAATTAACCATTGGTGGTCCTTTCTCTTTCCCCGTTCCAAGTTCAACATCTACTGGTTGGTCTTGTCCTTCATCATCACTTACCTCAATCAAATCGACATTGGTTGGTCCGTCCTTTCTGACTGTTTCATGTTCAGTATCTACCAGCTTCTGGCCAAGACACTCAGTACCAGGCTGATGCTGCTTTTCCTGGTAAAATGTCAATTGGGTTCAGGATGAGAACGACAAAATTGCCATGGCAATAACTCAGGAAGAGATTATTAAGGATGACTCTGTTTACCTCCTGTGAAGGTTGATCCCTCTTTGCATCTGCAGGTTCAGCTTCAGTAGCAACAGCATTAGAGTTCCGAAGCAGCTGGTTGGTAACGTGTGAATCAGATTTTTTTGATTTTCCTACTGGAACTGATCCAGCAAAATGTTTTCCCTCAGAACCTGGTTGACAATAATAATTTATATCAGCCAAACAAAAAATAACATAATGTATTACTTGCCAATTGAAGCCACACAGCAAGTAGAACTTAAATTTGTAAATGAAAAAGGAAAAAAAAAATTCTAGACCTCATTATTACTCTCATTACATGATTTAAACTAGATTTCACTTCTGCTAAGCTTTTATTTTCGTATCAATGGCATCCCTGGATATGGCAACGCATTAACTTTTAGAAGAACCAATAAAAAATGCAGAAATATATCTTGGCAAACCTGTAGTATCTATTCCATTATTCCAGCTTTTCAAAACACTTCTGGAAGTTTGGAAATCCTCTATAAGGGGTGAATGTAGGGAGGCATCGTCTTCATTCTTCTTTCCTTTGAGAGAGTGCTCAAAAGGAGGTTCAAATTCTGCCAAATCAGCAATGACTTCAGGAATCTCCTCTAATAACCTTGACTGTTCCGAAGGTGCCTTAAGCAGCTGCCATCTATCCATATACTCGTAGAGCGTTGACCCATCAACAGGTTAAGGGTTACATAATGTTCTTTTCAAGATGACATAGCACTTGATTAGCATAAAAAATATTAATTACATTGGTAATAAGTTTCTTCATTAAGCCCTTTTTGAGATTCAATGCTTTGAGTCTTAATGGACTGTATAGAATTTACATGGGTAAATGTCATAAGCTTGGTTTTCTGACTTTTCCAGTCATTTGAATAAGCTTGCTTAAAACTAGAAAGAGATGATTATTGTAATGCTTGTATGACATTGTCAAAGGATATTCCCTCCTCCATCCCTTTTCATTTGCCCGATTGATGAGGTTTTGCAATCGAACCAGCTCCTTCTCAATCCACTTATGGATTTTTAAGACAACAGAAACAGTGAAGGCAAAATCAGAAGGGAGTTTAAAAGATTTAAGATACTAATTAGATTTCTCCCAAATAAAAACTCAAACGAATTTTTAGATGTTGAATCTATAGTACATACATGTTTTGTTATATCCTCATGTAGACTCCTGACTTTCTGTTCAAACTCCACCTGTCAAGCAAGGTGATCGCGTTAAGCAGCGAGGAAAAGATTATTTCACTTTTCTTAATTATGTAATGGTTTTCATTTTCTCACAAAAAAGTATGCAACTTATGCACAAGCTCTATATTGAATATGAAAGCCATATTATACTCCTAATCTACACATTTAAAGTCAGGAAACGTTTTAACCAACACACGAGAAATAACTAATTTAGATAATTTCAAAGGCTGTTTTTTCTATTGTTTATCTTTTCCACTTTTTCTTTCCTAGGGGCAGCACACAGATTACTCATCAACTTAACAAATTTAGAAAACTTCTAGGACCATTGTTAGAGATGCTTTCTATGGATGCAATGAGATTTTATGATGATTGCGTGAGCATCCTGCAAAATCTAAAGGATTTAATTTAATTTTTGTTTCTTGACTAAGCTTAATTATGATTTTTCTTTCTTAGAAAAAAGACGAGCCCACTACTATTATTTCTCCCCACCATAAACAACACAAAAGCTAACATCTAATAGTTAATAATCTAGCATTATTGATCTCAATTGTCATCAGTATTTTCAGGTTGCTCTAGAACCACAACATATGTGAAAGAAACACAATGCAAGTAGTTATACCATTAGCATCAGGCTGTAAGGTGAGTTTTCTAAGCTGGCTACAAGTATGGAAAAGGTACACCAAAACTAAAAACTTACAACAGTAGGAACTTTGAGCAAGCCATTCTTAACTCGCTGGCATAAATCATCACATTCATCCTGAAAAATGGAAGGCATCTAAATAACTTTTCTTGTACAATACCAGGAAACTACAGCCTGAATCTCTTCCCTCCCCCCTCCCAAAGCAGGAAATAAAAAAGGATTCAAAGCCAAGCCCAGATAGATGGTAGACATGTGACTATATACTTGGTAATTGGATCTCAGTAAACAAAAATCATGCACATAAAAGGAAAAACATATCAATCTAACTAAAGATGTTTCAATGGGCCAAAAAAAAAAAAAAAAAAAAAAAAGAAAAACAAAAGATTTTACTGAAATATCACCCTTCAAAGAAATCCTACAATCAATTGTGGATGGTCCAGACCAGATTGTGAAAATCCACAATTTTCAAAAGACTTTTAGTACATGAGGTTTAAAATAACAAAAATGAAGTTTTCCAGAATTTAATAAATAAAATCATACATTCAGATATAATAGACTTCTCATTCCACCATTTTTTTATGTACGAACATTTAGCCTGTTATCCTGGTTCAGAATAGCAAATTGAGAGAAAAATCGGGAGATACGCTCAGAATATTATCAATTACCTCAGTGAAGTCATCATCTGATAGCTTGCAAAGGGGTACATCTTTTGGTACATTAGACAGTTGCAGAAGTATTAAATCCAATCCATCCTTTACTGGTGTTTTCTTTATGCCTGTCTTGATACAGAATTGCAAGGGGGAACAAAAGATCAAATATTTAAGACAAAGAAAGTTGTCAGATGAATAAACAGAACAGACTAAAGGATATTAAAAGAAAAAGCCTGGAAAGATCTAAAACGTTGAATTGACGCAGAAATCATTGGATCACTGTGTTTCTCTTTTTTGCCTCTCCATAAATTTTCTTGTAAATGGAAATCTGGAATAATTTGAAGCTCCCAACAGAAAAGCTTCCTAACAAGGGCAAAATTCTGGCCTTGGCACACTGACTCCAACAAACAAACTAGTTACTTAACAAGAACCACTTACAAATACAATGTTACTCTTTTCCTTGCCCCTAGCAGGGGGCATAACAATAGCTATAGTTGTTTCCATTCACACTCAAGTATAGCATCGTAGAGAAGAAGTTTAGCAGAATTAGTCTTTGTTCAAGTAAAATCAACTAAGCAGCAATGTGATGTACAAAAACTACAAGGATATGCTGGACATAATTTACAATTTCTGAAATAATTACCTGTAACTTGCTCGAGTAGGTGAGAATTTTTCTGCAAGTAATCGTATGGATCAGACTTTATTCTAACAAAACTTCCTAACATTTTATTTTCAAAAGTATCAAGCTGTACTGCTAACTTCTCCACCAGACTTTTCTTCAAGTAGACAAGCTTTATGTTTTTTGTGACTATGGATGCAAAACAGCCTTGCCGCAAATTCAGGGCTGCTTCCTTTACAACAGGTTTTCCATCCAAGCTCAACTTTCGTTGCCTTTTACAGAGGACTGAGGCATTATCAGTATCTTCTTCTGGGCTACTCCCAAGCAAATCTCCTACTTGCGTCAAATTCTCAGCAAAATGAGGTGTCAGAAGTTTATATATACTATTTTTGTTGACTGCTTGCCTTCTTAGAAGAGATCGCAATGTTTTATCACAAATAACTTTCTTTTTTTTCTCTGGGTGAAACAGTTTATGTTCTTTGCAGTATTCAATGATCATAGTAGTAACATCATGCTGAGACAACTCTTCGGTTGTCTCTTTACCAATGGATGAAAGGAATTCTAAAAGAGATTTTGATGCCCATCCAACGAACTCCTTTTCAGTTGATAACTTTCCTTTAGTTGTAAGCTTTCCTTTTGTTTTCTTCCTTTTATAAACTTGCTTAGGACCTCCATAACATAAATCCTCAAAGTCAGATTCACTCTCCTGGCTTTCATCTTCAGTGCCTAGAAGTTCAACATCATCTCTTCCACAACTTTGATTGAAGCTAGAGCCACACTTTTTGTTTTTGCCATTCTTTAAAAGGCTATATGCAGAATGGACATGTTCTGAAGTTATTCCATCCTTCAACTTCATTATCTCCCAATACCCTTTAAAGAGGAATTCATATGAATCTTCAGCATTAAAATCCACCATATCCTGTAAGATCAACAAGTACAGAGTAAGTTAAAGAACAAAAAGAAAGAGATCACTAAAATGCACTTTCAACTCTTTGCAAGGCAAGTATCCCTAACAAGAAAATCTGTCAGGGCAAATCAGTTCAGAAAATACACACCCCATCAGAATCAACATCTTTCCTGTCTTCTATAAGCAGTGCAAGTTTCAGGCAGTGATCACAGAATCCATGTCTCCCTCTAGCCAATGCAAACTCAAGATCATGAGGGCACTTTCTGCATATAGCAAATGGACAGGCAAAGCAACGAAACTTTGCAGGTTTACCACATCTGTAGCAATAATGCCTACCTGAAATGTAGATTACCACCTTAGCAAAGATGTAGCTCTCTACTAATTATTGCCACTGTAAAGGAGCTTGAAATGCGAGAAAAAAAAAGTGAAAGAAAAGAAGACTGTCAAAACTACAGACGCTGAACTACCAATGGCTTTGCTTGCATTGTCCTTGTCAGGAAAAGAAGATAATATACTTTCATGTGAAATATAACAATTGTGACAAGAGTACGCCTTTTATTGATTCATTCTTTCTATTTTTAGAAAAATAGAAAACAGAATTCAATGGTTTCCCAAAAAATATGAAGGCAAACCACTTGGTTAACTATTTGAAGACAAGCAAAATCTGCAGCAATAGTATCTATGATAAGAACACACAAAAAATTTTGATTTGAAGTGTCATGCCTACTGGTATAAACTTTCTTTTGTTGACCAATTTAAGTACAAAAATTTCACAGAAAAAGAGAAACACATTGAAAAAGGTTTTTTCATAACTAAAAGCGAGCAACTTACCGCAAAACCAGCGTTCTTTAGTCTCCAAGATAGAATTATCTTTTCCGACACAGTTGGGATGATAAACCTTAAGACAACAGCTGAAATTCAAGAAGAATGTAAATTAGCTGCTTATATGCTGGTAACAACACAAACACAATAACACATATGCTTGAATAGTATGAAACCTAAATTTGTAAAAGTGTTACAAGAAAGATAATAACAGAAGATAAAACTAAAAATAACAACTTTCTACGATTATGCATCATGCTCATAAAAAACTCTAAATGTTTACTAATAAACTAGCAAACTAGTAGCTAGTAGCCTTCAAAGTAAACCTTTAGTTCTCTTCCCTGTTTTTCATTTCAAGTAACCTAAACAAAGCAATCGGTACACTCATTAAAGAAAGTTTTCATTAAGACAATTGAAAATCCATCACTCTCCAACAGGTTATCATGGTGTTTAAAACATTAAAGGTTTAATCATATACCATTTTATTATTTCAATCAGGGCTGGTGCTACATATGCATATAAATGTTCATCATTCATAGCACATATTAGACAAACAAGTTATGATGAACAAACAACTGACCCCCAAATTACAGAACCGGGCTAATAGTAAATTCCAAAACGAACAAGAGTATTATGAAGCAACTTAACTAGAAGACAAGTGATTGGTGTAGGGAATTGCGCCAAGACCAAAAAAAAAAGAACCTTCCCTCTTCAAAACTACTAGGAAATATCAACTTGACCATGCAGTACCCCCCACTCTTCAATAACATTAAAAATGCTTGCTGTAGGATTAGAAAACTCACTCATAATCACAGAGCATGAGTAATCCACCCTCTTTGCAAACAAAGCAGTAATCCTCTGCAATTTCTTCTTTCTTTCTCTTGTTTTTTCTCTCCATTTTCCTTCAAAGGCACGACCTTTAAACAAACCAACAAAAACCCACGTCCTCCAACCCAACCCCACTTCCTCGAAGCCCTACAAAACAGTGAACTTCAAAAAAAGAAAAAAATAAGCAAATTGAAAGAATCTTCCAATGCAGATTGCTAATTTAAAACTTGCTCAAGTCTTGCATTTCCATCAACAAAAAGAAGAAGTCACGATTGCATTGCATGGATGAATGATTAAGAACCCATTTTAAAAAAATGCAAAAAGAACAGAACTTTTAAACACTCCAAAGGCCAAAGGGCCACAAATCACCATGAAATTAGAATTTGAGATTCATGCAAGAGTGAAAATGCATTCTCTTCTCTTTGTGAGTAGCCTTGGACAAATTGCTACAAGGACTGAAATGGCAAAGATTAAGAACATACCTTTAGAGCTCCAGAAGCAAGAGTGCAACGTAGGACCTGTAATTGATAGGTTTCGAGAACGAACACCCCAAGAGTTTCTTCAAAGGAAGGTGAGAATTGAAGACTCAACGATCGGGCTAAACTTGGTTTCCTCTACATGACTCTTTCAAATTCCTAAAAACGGAGGCCAGGACACGGTGGAAAGTGGAAACCATTTTTCATTTTTATATTGGTAAATAAACACGAGAAAAGTGACAGATGCGGTACAAGCATATGAAAGACAGAGATTTTGACATTGGAGTGATCATTCCTCTTATAATGGCTACAAAATGTGTGATTTATAGTATTTTTGGTTTATGTTTACATGTAATTATAGTCACATTTTCACCAAAAAAAAGAAAAATTTATGGTCACACGCGAAGTATTCATGTACCACTTACTTTTCATTTGGGTAAGGAGCTATGGATTTTTAGTTAATTAGATTAAAAACTTAATGAAAAAGAACAAGAATTTCAAATGACATATAGAGTAAAAGTTTCTTTATTTAATCTTATAATGAGTTCATCCTCATAAAACTTCCTCAGTTTTTATAAATAGAAGTTTCAATTCATTAATTTACCTAATAAAAAAACGGAGGATGGAACATAGAAGACTCAACCTCTGCATTTAGAGTTTTGTTACCATTTTTGGAAAACGATACAAATGTCACCATTTTTGTTACTTTTGATAATTTCATAAAGATCAAAATAGCATTCAACTAATAAATTATAAATTTTGACCGAGTATAAATTTTTTAAATGTTAATTTAAAATTTTAGATCAAATTATCAATAATTTAACTAATTCAATGGTTATTAAGAGATCTTGAATTTAAGTTATATAATATATGAATGGGATAAAGCATAAAAAATAATTACATTTCATTATGTAAAAAAAAAAAATTAAGTCAAATTACAAATTCAAACTCAATACAAAGCAAATAACTTTTTATAAATTCAATTAAAATGTCAATAAATTAAAATCATAAAGGAATGGGAAGTAGCATGTATATCATTCAAAATGTATGCTTCTTTCAAGCATATTATTATTAATAAAATCAGTACAAAAAAAAAATGAATCCAAAAAATATAATTAATTGCTTAATTATAGCTGCAATTCGAATAATTTGAACCCTCTAAGTCACCACAATATATCTTATTAAAACCATATGAACAAAATAATTTGGTCCGACTCTTATCCTTCCTTCTGTATCTTACCCCTTACATGCTTTGCTAATGCATCCAGAGCAACATCGACGGCATCCTTAAACCCTAACTCCCCGCTGCTCGCATTCGGATGCGAGTATGTCACTCTCGGAATCATATTGATCACCGTACTCCTCATCCTCTCTACTTTCTCCGCCGGTATCCTCATCAGCTCCTCCTCTATGATCCTTTTCCCTCCGGTCACCTCCTTCTCATCCATGTAAACCGAGTATTCTTCCTTCTCCTCGGGTAGAAACCATCCGTACTGCGTGTACGCCATGTGTGGCGAAAAGAACACCGGAATGCACCCGGTCAAGATCGAATCAAACGTTGACCGCCTCGTGAAGGAGTCGCCGGGAGCCTGCAAGCAGAACTGAGACATCTTCATGATTCGAAGAATCTCGGCCGGGTCATAACACTTGGTATTTCCGTGGTCACAGTGGACGAGTCTACACCGAGTTGACTCGGCGCATTGCTTGATTAATTCGTCCCGGATGGCGGCTTTCTCGACCCCCTTACGCGGTGCTCCGATGAAGGAAAACAAGTAGGGTCGCGTTGACTCCCGCACCGTCCGCTGCCACGCCAGCATCTGAGCTGCCGTCGAGGGGTGGAAGTAGGAGGCGTAGGGAATGCCGTGTAGATTTGCTCCATTCCACGGATTTCTTTCCACGGTCATCACCGACATTTTCTTGACAGCTGGCAAATTCAGCAGACAATTCGCCCCAAAGTCGGGCCCACTGTCGGATCTCATAAAATCCCATGCGGTCCTCCCCAGCACAATAAAATGGTCCTCACCATTATTTTTCCTCCACGTCGGCTGCTTCTCTAAATAGTCAACTAATCTGACGGCTAACTCATCTCTCACCGTACGATTAAACTCCCGAAACATACTAGACGCATGGAGACCACCGTAGAACGGGACGTAGAAGATATCAGCCTTTGAAGGATCTAGCGTGCGGCACGGGTGATTCTCCACCCGCGCATGGAAAATCATCTCAGCTATGAACTGGTGTGTGGCGAACCAGGCATTACGGTCGCCGTCAGATCCCGGTAGGTCCACGGCGGCGAGCGGTTGGCCTAGACCGTTGTTTGCCACATGGGGACACATGCTGGTGTAGATACTTAAGTGGCTGCAGTTGCGGAGGAGGCCAAGGTTGAACTCTGTAGGTAAATTGTACACATAAACCGACGCGCCACCATCACAACTCGATGGAATTAGTTTCTTTATAATTACAGCAGCCGCTGCCTCTGTGGCTGCGGGTTCTGTTGGAGTTTTTGGCCGAGGGGGCCAAAATTGGAATAGAATGAGAAACCATGTCAAGAGAAAGAGAGAAAACAAGAGGATGTATTTGAATTGGGGAGTGAAGAATTTGAAGTGGGGTTCTTTGTGTTTGTGGTACCTGTTTTCTCCTGTCCATGGAGACCCATTAAGTTGTTTTTTGGACAACATGGGGAGAAACAGAGATGGGTATGAGGAAGATCAGGTTGTGGCGGTGGGGACTAGCTGATTGGTCTAGATCAAGCCAAAAAGGATTTAGAGGTGAGTCTGATGAGGAAAGACACAAATTAAGTTCATGGGAAGAAAAGTGAGGGGGGAGACGTGTCTCTGAAAAAAAAATTTCTTTTAATTTAATAAGGTAGCTAAGATCAAGAAAAAAAACGGAGAGAATAAAAACAGAGTACGATTCCGGTTGGGTTGAATTTATTGAGGTGGTAAGCAAGAATCTTATAGGAAGGCACTAAACTAAAGGAGAAAAGAGATTTACTGAAAAAGAAAAAGGGAAAAAGATAAGATGTCCCAACAATCAACATCTTCAGTTCCATATGGAAGTATCTTGAGATGTTGATTCTTAAGTTTAAAATTTTAGATAAATAGAGAAAAAATTTTCACGAAAGGAATTTTTAGTGTAAATTCCTTCAATTCAAAAGAAGAAATATAAAAAACTCATAGAGAATACAACCAAGTCATCTGGGATTATTACTTCCTTCTAAAGAATAATATATGTATGTGTGAATGAATGTCATTGGGACAATAAAGCAGTGTTTGTTTTCCCCCATCGAAACAAAGCTTAAAACGTGAGGAGAAGCGAGAAAGACGGTGGGAGAAAAGGACAAGAGGTGGCCGGTTTTCTTCCATGCACATGCCCCCATCTGTATTTTGCACGCGTGTCACAATCTTGGCGAAAGGGAAATTACACCATCAACAAAACAAAATGGTAAGTAGTATTTACTCTAACTACCTAAGTTCCTATTAAATGAGATTATAAAATACAATTGTAAAAACTTTAAGATTTATATATATTAATAAATCAATATTATTTTATAAAAAAAAATTAAATTTTAAATTTTAAAATTAATATTTATAAAAAATTAATTTTTAAATATAATAAATTAATATAAAAATGTATTTTTAAAATTATTTGTGAGATCACAAAACTTAATTAAAGAATCTTATCAATAAATAAAATAAAATAAAAAGACGGTGAGTGGTGACACTGACAACTAGGAAAAGTCCAGTTCACCATCTCCCACCGGAAAGAGAAGAGTATATTTGAAAGGTCAACTTATATAGCTGCAATCAAGGCCTTAATTGCTTTACCAACTAATTGAGAGTGGAAACATAGGAAGGAAAAGAAAATAAGGGTGCACCAAGGAACAATATAATTTTTTTTTTCTTCTGGGATGATTAAGGTGTTCTTGATCTCATCTTAAGACTAATTCATTAATAATTGATTTTAAGAGCTCACCTCTCATAAATATTTTTTAAAAAGATTTTAGGCTTAAAACTTAAATCTTAACTTGATTTATATGACAACACTTATTTATCATTAAATTCAATATTTGAAGTTAATAGTTCTTATTCTTATTAGTGAATGAATGATCAAATAAAATTCACATATTTAAAATTTAATATAAGATTAATGTTTATTAGTTAGACATTTAAATAATTAAAATAATATTTTTAAACTTACATTATTTCCATATAACACTATAAAAGTATCAAAATAGTTTTATTTTAACTTCAAAAATAAATAATTTTAGTTTTTTCTAATCAAAATTCATCAGAATGATTTATCTAAAATGTTTTTCCTTTTAATTTCTTAAAAATATGATTAATAAACACTATTTTCGAAACAGAGCTGAACACTACATTGGCATGGAAATTACTACTCTGTATTGGGGTTTTTGCTGGATCTCATGAATGAAGTCAATATTGTGAGATCTGCAATGGTTTTTGCAATGAAGTTTATTTTATTCATTTGGACTAATTGGAAGAGCAGACTGTAAGGCAATTAATTAATTTGCATAAATTAATCGTAGAGTAGCAGTAGCAGATTATTTTTGCCAACATCACACCGTTTTTGAATTCGACAATATTCTAACGAGCATGCATATCTCAATCTTTATTTATATAATTCAAGACTAT